GCTTCAGGGAGTTTGCTGGGGCCTGGGGGCTGTAATCCTCGGCTTCAGGGAGTTTGCTGGGGCCTGGGGGCTGTAATCCTCTGCTTCAGGGAGTTCGCTGGCTCTCGCTCGGTCCCTGGCTTAAGGCTTCACCGGGAACTGTAACTGGTCTGTAGGGTTCTGAGAGAAGATCAACATTTCTCTAAACTTCCGGGCCCAAGGGTCCTACCTGCATTCAGAACAGTCAGGCGTCAGGGGAGCAACGTTAAATGTAAGCTGTTGGCTGGTGGGTGTCCACTTGGTTGTATGTTTTATCAGAACCCCCCCCCTTCCCATTCTGACACATGAATCTTTGCTGAATCCAGACTCATATTTATGCTGTCCGTCAAAAGCTGTCTGGTAAGGAAGATCCTCCACGCTGTCTCCATTTCCACACAGAGTCATTTGGTGGTGCTGTGCTCACTAGGCAAGGCCAGAACTACCGGCCCGCATCCCATCATTCCCTGGAAAAGGATGAAGCAACTGGGCCGCAGAGGGCAGCAGAGGGCCTGGTCCAGATGGGAGCATATATAGATTGGCGATAGTACCTGTCCTGTAATGAAATGAAAGGTCTTATTAACAGAGCCCACAGTACTTCCTGACTGCCTATGTGAACAGCTGCGACCACAGAAAGACTTGTACATGGTGGGTGTAATGGAGATGGGACACTGAAAAACAGGAAGAGAGCAGAGGTGGGCCTGCTCATCAGCTGCAACAGAGAGATGGGGCACTTCCTGCCACCCACACACACTCACAGACACACTCACAGACACACTCACAGACACACTCAGGCAGACACATAGCCACCAGGAGTCACATATGGGGGGAGGCTTTCATAGCCCCTGGAAAATGTCAGATCAAGAGATGTGACAGACTGGTCCAAAACTCAGTTTCTGGTGTGATTATTCCAGTAGGACACAGAAACATGAGCACTTTCTTCTACCATCCTTAAGGTCTTCCTGTCTGTGATGTTTTCCTTTCTGTACCATTTTCCTGTCTGTAATGTCCTCCCGTTTATTAAATCAGTCTGTAATGTCCTCCTGTGTGTAAAACTCGCTTGATTGTAATACCCTCCTGCCCATAACATTCTCTTGACAATAACATTGTCCTACCTGTAACATTCTCTTGACTGTAACACCCTCATATCTGTACCACTCTGTTGATTGTAATATCCTCCTGTCTGTAACATTCTCTTGACTGTAATATCCCCTTATGTACACTTCCCTCCTACCGGTAACTATGAGACAGCAGTTTGCAGCACTGGCCGGTTACAGCCTGTCCCAATGGCCCCATCACACACATAGACCGATTCCCCCAAGCATTCTGTGGAAGCTGTGTGACCTGAGACTCACTGTTGCTTGGGGCTGCAGTAAATGCTGCTCTGCAGAGAGCAGACGTGGCCCCAGCAAGACGGTGTGAATGTGAAGCATTACTTCAGGCAGGCAGGGACTGCTGGTGCCATGAAGTGTGGGGAAAGACGGTCTGTAGTGAGACAGAGAGCCAGTCTATGGTGTCCTCCTTCCCTGTCTGATAATAACAGAACCAGGAGGAAACCTGAAGACTTCATGAAACTCCTTTTTTGCCACTTAACATTGTTTTATCCAGTATGATTCCATATTAAGCCTAAGAGCTGTGTAATTATATTGTGTAATAACTGTATGACAATGCAATAATATTGTAACACAGTGACATTAATGCATAATGTAGGGCAGTGTTTCCCCATACAGCCTTGGTCTCCCCCATTGTGCAGGGATCTCTATTATATCTCTGATCAGATTCTTGACATTGTTATCAGAGTGGGCAGGTGAGGAGGCAGAGCCGCCGCCCCCCCGATCCGACGTGCTAATAGCTAAAGGGTCCAGCTTTACGCTCAGCGCTAATCCTCACTGGCCCGACGTTCTGCTACAGCTCTGTAAAGCTCTTTAAAGGACAATGATTAGTGAATTATCCAAACATACTAACGTTACTGCTATTGGGTGAATGCCCTGCGTCTTCAACTGAGCACTTTGTATGGGGGGGGCAGGGTCTGAAGCAGTCCTGGGGGGTGGGATGGGGGGGGGGGGTCACACAGCACAGCCTTTTAAATCACTTGGTTATACTCTCTCTGCCCAGAACCAGACGGGTTCAATTTATACAGACTGGTGTATGACTTTACTTTGGACCTTGAAGCTTATGAACTGAGAGAGCATAAATCAAAATCGTTTTTGTGCTCTGTAGAATCAGAAGAAATGTCTTTCTGGCTCGGAGGATGAAATATCTGCTGATTTATGGGGCTATGAAAACATGGCTGATGTTTGTTTGGCATCCCAATCCGACCTGATTCTCCCGCTTCTGGCATCTGCTGGATAGAATTACCCCCCAGAGGAATTGGACACTGTGCTTCCTTCATTATCTCGTGAGAGGTGCACTGCAGCAAGGAGCCCTGAAAGAACACTTTATCCTTTTTCATTTTTGCCTTGAGCCAAAATGAGTCTGATAACAGGAGAGCATGTCATGAGACCACAGCAGGAAAGGGCCCTCTCTGACTGGTGTGGTTATTGGGTGCTTATTATCTACAATTAATCCATCACATTTCTAACACTACTTTAATGTTCCTCTCACAATTGTTGTTCTCTCCTGTAAATGACTCCAGTCACCTTTGCCATGCTGTAGGCACTGAAAGCCCAGGACCAATACAAACACATTCACCTCAGCCAGCATCACGATCCAATTCCATTGTGGTTAACATCAAGTGCCAAGCAGCCTGACCAATCAGCTCTTTCCATGTCTACCTCTGATCTTATGTGCTGGTAGTGCTGTTACATGTGGGATTTCAGTCTGATTTTAAAGCAGGTGTCTGGCATGAGGTCTAAGGCAAGATTGTCAGAGTGACGCTTGGTGATAGAGGCTGGAGGCCGCGGGTTCGAGCCCTAGGTGAGAAAAGGCTGCTGAGGCGTCAGAGCAGGAAGGCAGTGTCTCAGTGCTACTTAGAGGCTGGAGACGCGGGTTCGAGCCCTAGGTGAGAAAAGGCTGCTGAGGCGTCAGAGCAGGAAGGCAGTGTCTCAGTGCTNTCTCAGTGCTACTTAGAGGCTGGAGACGCGGGTTCGAGCCCTAGGTGAGAAAAGGCTGCTGAGGCGTCAGAGCAGGAAGGCAGTGTCTCAGTGCTGCTTAGAGGCTGGAGACGCGGGTTCGAGCCCTATGTGAGAAAAGGCTGCTGAGGCGTCAGAGCAGGAAGGCAGAGTCTCAGTGCTGCTTAGAGGCTGGTGGTGCCTGAGCAGAGACCCACGGCTGCCGGACAGTGCTCCTGGAATAGCAATAAAGTTGCTAAGAAAAACAAAGGCGTCATAAATATGCAAACACTTCACTGGGGAAACCCAGTATGAAATGGTTATGAGCCCAAGAGGACAATTTGTGGGTAATTACCCGGTCGATGCCCGCTTTGACAGGCCGGGGGAACCTTAAAGCCTTGGGTGAACGTACTCTCATTGCCGGTCGGCGGGATGAGAGGACAATCTGAAATGAAGCGTTATTGTTACATTACCCAGCACCGAAAGGCCTGGAACACTTTCATTTACGGCGATCTGCATGGTCTGTCATGTTCATTTAGGAGCACACATTTCCCTCACAGTGCATAATGCACAAATTTGGGAGGATAACAGTGTGTGAGTCCAGCTATGAGAGTAACACTGATCGGGGGTCTGTCTCTCAGCTTTATATCTGAGTGGGGGCTTTTGGAGCTCCCAGAGCTCCCGATATCCTTTGGCTGTCTTCGTACCATCACGATGACATCATGGTGTTATAGGGTGAGGCTGATGTTAGGGTGGTACAAGAAAACTGTGTGGTAAAGCTAATCTCTGTTTCAGGCTTGTTTCCTGTGCAGGGATGCCCTCCTGTGAGACTCCTGCTCCCTAAGACCTCCTGATGTTCAGGAAGCCCTTTTCTGCCAGTTTCTGGCCATGACATCCTGCAAAGCTTAAAGCAGTCTTTCTCAAACCGGTCCTCAGGGACGTCCAGACGGTCCACTGGGAGCTGGGAGGGAGCAAAAACGTGGGCCTGAGAACCGGTTTGAGGAACACTGCCTTACAGCATCTGCCCATACCCTGCCAAGTAAGCCTCTGCCTTGTGCCACACAATGAACTGGGGCAATGCCATGGAGGCCCCAGGAATGCAGGTCATTCAGGGAAACACTCCATAGCTCCGTGACCACAGTAACCTCCAAAGACACCTCCCTGTGCTGCTCAGCTGAACAGCTCTGACGACCATTCAGGTCAGTCACCGTGACCTGCTGCCACCGGGTAACTACTGTACAGTGCCGTATGAAGAGTAGGACAGGAGGGGGGAGCCAGTGACTGCCTGCAGAATGGACACATGTTCTCCATGGAGGAAAGCCCATGTCTGCACAAGTACACCTGGTCAAAGGCTGGAGACCATGTGAGGTGAACCAGCATGACATCACAGCTAGTGATATCATCACACACCACAGCTAGTGATATCATCACACACCACAGCTAGTGATATCACCACACACCACAGCTAGTGATATCACCACACACCACAGCTAGTGATATCATCACACACCACAGCTAGTGATATCATCACACACCACAGCTAGTGATATCATCACACACCACAGCTAGTAATGGCGTCACACACCACAGCTAGTGATATCATCACACACCACAGCTAGTAATGGCGTCACACACCACAGCAAGCGGGCAGGTCAACAATCTTAATGTTCATTTCAGAATCTGGACTGGTGGCTGGGATTAGACCCTCAGGAGAAGCCCACAACGAGGAGCATGATACCTGAAAAAGCAGCTGTTTACAGTGAGATGCTTTGGAACCCACCCCAATATAAATGGAGCCCCCACTAAAAAATGTTCCACTTATATTTATTTTTATTTGGCAGATGCTTTTGTCCAAAGCAACAAGTGAAGCGAACAGCACATTACAAAGATTCACGCTGTCAAGGAGCCAAGTAGGTATAAATGCAGCTCGGCTGAGCTTCCAGTGAATGAGCAGGTATGAGTGTAAGCAGGAAAGGAGCAGTACAGGAACAGGACAGGAACAGGAAAGGAGCAGGACAGGAACAGGAAAGGAGCAGGAAAGGAGCAGGACAGGAGCAGGACAGGAGCAGGACAGGAGCAGGAAAGGAGCAGGAAAGGAGTAGGAAAGGAGCAGGAACTGCACGACACCTTCCAAACAAAGCAAGAACCAGATACGGCTAGTGTTCACTAACCAGAAAGTTACCATTTAGCACATTCAGGGAACAGACAGCAGCGTTTAATGGTGATGCTGACAGCCACAGAGTGTGACTCACATGGCCTACTAAGTAAGATTACTTAGTTTGTGCTGTAGAGAGTAAGATTACTTAGTTTGTGCTGTAGAGAATTCACGGATGACTCGTGTAGATGTTCCCACGTGAGGTCAGGCAGCCACAGCCCCGGAGCATCTCTACCGCTGGTGTATACAGTGTTTGTGGCTGGGACTCCCCAGGGAAGGTTACTACCAGCCAACCACACCGACACTCCGCATCCTACATGCTATGCAAGGACCCCAGGCAACAAACACACCTACTGCATGCATTTTTATTCCTGTTTTACACTCTCCCTCCCATTTAAACATTTATATTATATTTGCACTAATTGTAACACAGAAAGTTTTTCTGAACTAAGATACTAGTCAAATAAAGACATGATCATAAAAATAATTTGATTAAAGAATGTGATTAAAAACGCAACCTCAGTAACATACAGCTCTGCTTCCATCTAGTGGTCATTCTGAAATACATTACTTTTTCTATTAAGCAGGGTTTTCTGTAGTAGCATGAATTTACTACTTTTCACATGAGTACCAGGCAGAAGCATGTAAAAATCATGCTACATGCTAAAGAATGTAAGTCAGCACTTGCACTGCAGGAAAACCCAACAGCCATTGTGGGGACTTGATTTCCAGACCCCCGTAAAGAAGATCATCAAGGTAAGCAAGCGTCCTATTTCCATACGGACTTCGCTCTGGTCTTGATGACCTTGAAAGCCGCTGTAGATCTCCTCACCACCTCACTGTCAAAGTATTTTAAAAGTTTATAAAAGATCACTGGTATCCTCAGAGGTCCCGAACCATAAAGCTTTAATCATAAGACAAGATAGGAAGAAGCTTCAAAGTCCAGCTTCCCACACAGCCACACAGGAAGAGCCAGGAGAGCTGCTCTCATCCAGACAACAGCTGTTGTACCCAAAGTCACATCTCTGTAGAGGCTGACCAGCATGGGAAGGATAAATTACAGAGCAAATAAACAATTCCCTGTTATGTTTTCTGCAAATGCTTGTTACTATTCTTTTTTATTTTTCCTCAACCGAGAATAACTTACCAAAAACATGCGAGTGCAGTGATCCTGCCAGCCAGGTCATTAAAGAGGAAGATGATCATTTTTACCACTGGCTTTGGGTCATTCTGATTTTAAAGGGGAGGGCCTCCCGTAATCACGACCTTAAAAGGGCGTGAAAAGGTGAAAAAGGCCAGTCATACTCCACATGTGAATATGAATGACTTTCCTCCAAATTG